ACTCTGGCTTTAGTGACTTGGTCCATCATTGTTGCCTGCAGCCTGTTTTCTTTGGGGGCTTGTGACAGTGTATTACACCTTGTTATTTTTTTATTGTTGGTAAACCTGAACCAGATAGTTCCCTAGTATTCTTTTAAGACTTTACGCACCTCGCTCACAGTCTCTCTTCGCTGATCACTTTGAGTCGTCATCATCATGTTGGACAACTCACACATTTTATACTGGCCTTCCAGTTCCTTCTTTTATCTCCTATCCTTGGTGTATTTCTTTGGTTATACTTTCAGCCTGATCATTAGTTAACTGAATCTGCTCACTCTGAGATTTTCCATTCTGACTAACTTAACACTCTTATTCAGACTTACTCCATTTAGCAATAATCACGCCTCGGATAAACCTCATTGGCTATGATACTGCCACTGCACAAAGCTCAAACTTAACTCTTTTGAAACAAACAAACAAATGAAGTCTTGTTAAGTTGCCCAGACTAGGCTTGAACTTCTGCCTCATTCTTCCAGGGTGTGGGAATCATAGGTGTGCACCACCACACCCAGCTTCAGATTTGTCCTTTAACTTCATTGAGACCACTCTGTGTCTTTTTACCTTTCTGGCCACATTTTCTCAGCTAGTAAGTCTTGTTCTTTCATTGTAATCACTCAGAAAGTATCCTATTGAATTCATTATCTACCTTTGTCCCTTCTACAGTGAGAATCTTCTATAGTAGTACAGAAAAGATCCTGTTCTACATTTAAAATTTTCAATTCAGCTGGGTGCACGGTGTGGCTTCAGTTTACTGTCTACTTTTCTTAGGTTAGCACTTTACCCATTTTCTTTGATGGCTTTGATAGGTTTTCTGTTTGTTTTCTTTCTTTTTTTCTTTTCTTGATGGCACTGGGGATTGAACCCAAAACCTTCATACTGAGATACATCCCCAACTCTTTAAAAAAATTTTTTTTTTATTATTTTGAGAAGGGTTTCACTAAGTCATTAAGGCTCGTCCAAGCTGGCCTCAAACTTGCCATCCTCCTGCTTCAGCCTCCCAGAGTTGCTGGAATTATAGGCATGTGCCAACATGCCCCCTGTACCCAAGTTTGGCCCACACACCTCACATATGCTTATAAATATGCTTGACTTCTACTTTTTGGAAAAATACAAAGGATTAAATGTAAATGCCCAATTTCATTTCTTTAATCTTCAAATGCATCTTCACTGATTGTTACTTGTAGGTAATTTTTCTTGCCTCATTAAGTATGTTCTGCATTTCATTGTTTCCCTGGATTTTTTTTTTTTTTTGTCCTTACCAGAGATGGAACTCAGGACCTTGCACTTGTGAGGCAGGCAGCGGAACCACTGAGCTAAATCCTTAGCCCTCTCTAGAATTTTAATTCAATAGTTCTCTCTGGTTATCTTTAACTTTTACTGATTCCTTCTCAGCTTAGAAATACATACCTTAAGTATATACCTTTGTCCTTTATATATTCCTTTATATTTTATGTACACATATATTTGTCCTTTAAGAGAAAAGCCTCTTAACAGCAACCCCTCATCTGCCCGTCTAGGGTGGCCATGCATGTTAGCTGTCCAGATAATCCCAGTTTCTCCCTAAATTTTAGGGCTCACTTTTACTTTTTAGAACTGTGCTGTTTCCATGTTCAGTTATATGGTCAGGCTATCCCTGTGTTTCTCCGTTTCACAGGGTCTCCTAGAACATCATACATTTGCGATCTTATTTTTTCAACTCTTTTTCATACCTTCCCCTCTCTCTCCAGTGACACTCTTCTAGCAAGAGTGTCAAAACCACCAAATGACTAAATTTCAGAGACATTTTTAATATTTATATTTGGCCTTTCTGCAATATTTGGTACTATGCGCTATTACTTTCTTTTCCCTTGGTTTCCCTGACTTGTAATGGCATTTTACCATGACTTTTCTTTCCCTCTCTGGTGGTCTGTCTTTACTGATTTTCCCTGGCTTCTTCACTTGCATTCTCTGTGTCTTTAAAATATTGATATGTCAGCTGGGCATAGTGCTCCATATCTGTAATTGCAGTACGCTGGGACTCTGAGGCAGGAAGATCACACATTGGAACCCTGCCTGGGCAATTTAAAGAGAGCCTGTCTCAAAATATAAAAGGGCTAGGGATATAGTTCAGTGCAAAGGCCCTGGCTTCTGTCACTAGTAACACTCACACAGAGAACATTGGTTCTTCACTTTCGAGGTTCTTTTTTTATTTTTTGGTACTGGGGATTGAATTTGGGTCCTTGTGCGTGCAAGGCAGGTGGGTGGCACCACTGAGCTATATCCCTGGTCCCTTTTCACTTCCTTTTTATGTTCTGCCTTTCTAAAGTGTACAGTTCAGTGGACCTTAAAGTACTATATATTTGGCATATATTAATGTGTCCATCACCAGTGTCTAATTCTAGAACATTTAGTCACCCCCAAAAGAAACCCTATACACACAGCATTCTCACTGTAGATTTGCCTGTTCTGGATTGGTTGGAGCAATGGAATAGTGTAATCTTTGGCCTTTTGTGTTTGTCTTCTTTTATTTTGTACAGTGTTTTCAAGGTTCCCCACCATTATATGTAGCGTGTGTCCTTTTTATGGCCCAATAGTCCATTGTGTGGATAGCCTGCGTTTTGTTTAATCATTCATCAGTTGATGAAAATACCTTTTAACTTTTTTAAGTGTGTGTGTGTGTGTGTGTGTGTGTGTGTTTTCAGGTCGTGCAATATGATGGGTCAGTCAATTCACTCATGAAATAGTGCCTATAGTATTAACTTTATTTGGGGTTTATGGTTTCACTCATTTATTGTGTTTAGGACTGAGGATTCAGAGATATACTCTGCCCTTGAGGAGCTTTATTTCTGATGGAAGGAACAGGCATGTAAATCAATAAATTACCAAGCAGTGTGGGGAAAAATATAATTAGAATTATATCTAAGGTAAATGTAATCCCACAATTGAGCAACTAACTGTGCTTAGATGAATTAGGCAAAACTTCCTAGAAGAGTGACATTTCAACTGAATGTTTAAGACAGAGTAGGCATTTGCCAAGCAGGTTACAAATGTTTTTGGTAGAAGAAATAGCTGACAAAGGAATGGAACTATGAAATAGCTTGTTTTGAAATGGCATGTTTTGGTAGCTTCGAGATCACTGTGGTGTCATCCTGGGTCTAATGAAGTGACCCTGGAAGGGCAGATCTGGTTCAAACTGATGAGCTTAATGTCTAAGAGGTGAAATTTGGATTTTCTTCTTTGGGTGTTTTGGAGACCAAAGGGATTTGGATAAACAAGATGGCATCATTGTTGCTCAGAGATCTTACTTGTACCTTCTACCTCAAATTCTTGGTCTTCGGTATATACACGTGTTCAATACGTTCTTAATAACAAAATATCTGTCAGTCTCACAATTCCTTTTGTTTTCTTTTAACTATTTTTCTGCTCTTCCTCACACTTCAGTCCTCTGCAGTCTGACATCTGTTCACTTCTGTTCACCTTAGAACTGTGCTTGCCATGGTGACCAATGACTTGTTTCTAAAACTAGCGGATGCTTTTTAGTAGCTGCCATGATATTTCTTCTTTTTCTCTAAAATGTTCTTCTTTACTGGTTCCCATAAGACCCCATTCCTGATTTTGATCCTATTTTGGTCTTTTCTTTTATAGTTTATTTTGCATAACATGAAAGATAGTCCTGTAAAAACAGTTTAAAGTGATGCAAATCAGTGTAGGCTAAGGGTGCATCTTCGGTTTAGCTTGGATGTTTAGGGTAGGATCTAATCATTATCTCACACACGTGATTGCTGAGGATTAGAGAGAAGGCTAAAATTGTTTTGACAAGACTTTGGAATGAAGATATTTTATATTTTATGTTGGAGTGAAGATAGCTAGTTTTACATTAATAGCTCCTGGCATATCATATCTCTTATTTTTAACAACTGCCCTGTTGTCAGTTGCTTGCTCTTTTTATTTTTCTTCCCTACCTCACCCACTATATTAATTTTTAAAATTATGAAATGCAATGCATATAAAAAGTATATAAAATAAATAGGATTTTTTAAAATGTATACTGTAAAGTGAGGATCCGTCTAAGCACTGTCTAGCTAAAGCATAGAATATAGTCATTGTTTCAGTGCATCTGGTATGTTCCTTCCTGGGCATCCTCTCCCTTTATCCCCTATACCCCCCAAAACTATTAGAAGTGACCACTCTGCAGAATTTTAGGCCTGTCATTCTCTTTGCTCTTTGAGTTTTTAAAAATTATTTATTTATGATACCAGCGACTGAACTCAGGTCCTTGTGCTTGTGAAACAAGTGGTGAACCACTGCGCTAACTCACTGGCCTGTTTTTTATTTTTAAAAACTATATCTATGTCCCTAGATAGAACTTTATCTGTTTTTAACCTTTATATAAATGGGAAAATACAGTAGCGATTTATGTGTATATCTTTATTTTGTCCATGGTCTATCCCTGCTTTTGCCTGTAGTTGAAGTTCATTCATTGTTTGTCACGTAGTATTTAGTAATCTGAAAATATTATAATATATTTACCCATTCTGGTGTTGGTGGACAGTAGAATTGTTTTCAGGTTTTAGCTATTAAGGATGGGGCTACTATGAACATTTTCTATTATGGTAAACTTTGGGGAGTAGAATTGCTGGAGTCAACTTCATTTTTACTTGATTCTAAGGTAAGGTTTTCTAAGGTAATTTTACTAATTTTTATTAATACCAGCACTATCTATGACTTTCCACTATGCTTGGTTGTTTATCACTTTTGTTTTTTGCTGTACCGGTATCAAACTTAGGACCTTGCACAGCAGGTGTGATGCCACTGAGCTACATCCCTAGCTATTTATCACTTTTTAAAAACTTGTGCGCTGGGGTTAATTCGGTGTTTTTGGTGCGTGCTTCACAAGCACAAGGACCTGAGTTTGATTCCCAATACCAAAAAACAGACAAACAAAAAAAAAAAGCCCAGAGAAACAAAAACAAAACTTGTTCATGTCATGTAAGTTTTTGCTGTTATTTAAACTGAAAAAGTCTTAAGTTTTCACATTTCCATATTGAAGACCTATTTTTAAATGAGCTAATATAATTATCTCATCTAGATTCATACTATGAAATCAATTTATATTTTCATTATGTTACTTGTGCTTATTAGGGGCGAGTATATTTTAAATACATTATATGGTACTTATCACTTTTTTAAAATATACTTTTGTTTGTGCTTTTGTTTTGTCTTTAGTCTGAAATGACATAGCTGTTTAACTTTTCATGCCTAGTGATTTTTGTTTTTTAACAAGATTTCCCTGTGTAGCTCAGGCTGGCCTTGTACTCACTGTGTAGTCCAAGTGGGCTCAAACTCTCAGCAGACCTCCCTCAGCCTCCCAAGTGCTGGGATTGTACTGTGTGCCACCAATTTCAGTGTTAAATAGGGATGGTTTATTTTACGAGTCCTGCTATCCTTTCTTCATTAACACTGTAACTTCTGGCCATATTATATAAGTTTTATTTATAAGAATATATGTGGAATGTTTAGTAAAGTTAACTCTGGTGGATCTTTCTCTTTCAAGTTGGCCTTTGTCAGAGTTTGATCCAAGCCAGATTCGACTGATTGTGTATCAAGACTGTGAAAGGCGAGGGAGAAATGTCTTGTTCGACTCCAGTGTTAAGAGAAAAAATGAGGATACGTCAGTATCGGTAAGCATCATTATTGATTTTTAAAAAAATACTGGGTGTTTTCATAATTCAAGAAAGAATGAATAGAATTTCAATTGTGATACATTTGTGAGTATAAAACATAAAATATGCTGTTTAAAATGTATAGTCCTGATTTTAAGATTAAAAAAAGAAATACTTGTTTTGTGTAGTCAGGTGTTATTTTATAGTTTGACATTTATCTCCTTATGTAATTGTAAGATATGACCACAGTCTGTTCTGAACCTCTCATTTTGAATTTATGCAAAGTGAAATGAAATTATTTGTCTGAAGGTACAAGGCAAGTTAAGTCTTTAGCCCTTAGAGCATCATATGTTCTCCTTAAAGTAGGGGTAAGAACTTTGCTAATTTTCATTGTCACATTTGGAAGTATGTTGTGAGCAGTTTTGTAGTAGTATATGTTCATCCCCTTGATTGGCCATGAAAACATAGATAATGCTGTTGCCATTATACACACTCGGGCTTGCTATATAATACTGGCACAGTTTCTTTGAACACTTAACGTAGCCAGATGGATCTATGTTTAAGACTCTTGTAGTTAGGTTTTAGTATTTTGTTTAGTATATGACACGGGTGTGAGGGGGAAGAAAACTATAAGAACTAAGAGAAAGTGGAGTGTCAGGATGATCAGTGCCAGTGCAACAAACAAAGACTGATTTTTATTGGCAATCGGAGTAAAGACAAGCTATGTGTGGTTTTTATGGAAATTAATGTAAACAGGCTCATAAAGGGCAAGACAAAGTTTTTTTTTTCTTTCTGGTACTGGGAACTGAACTTAGGACCTTGCATTTGCCAGGCAGGCATGGTGCCACTGAGCTACATCCCCATCCCCCCAAAGCTTTTTAAAATTAGGAACAGAATAGACAAAATATATGGTTGTAACTAGAACATTGTCCTTCTAGTCAGAAGGTTTCAGTTTTGTGCAAATTACTCTAACCTTGGCACGTAGACTTCATACAGACTCATTTCTCAAAATAAGCCAATTGTGGGGTAAACTGTACAAGCTTGCTTGGGCATAATCAAGTTACTGTCCCTTGCAGATCTAAGTGATCTTATCACATTACTGTCTTAGATACTTTTTATCAGTGATAAATGCAGTGCCATATCATGAGTTCCCAGTGAAGTACTATGATCATTCACATATTGATTATACATAAGGATAAATTTTTATAATTGAATTCGTATAACTTTTTGAAAAAGTGAGTATGAATTTTAAGCATTGAACGTTTTATACATTCTGAAGCATTACAGTGGTCCTTATTTGTGGTTTTAGTTATTCTCAGCAAAAAGGAGTATATATAAAATGGAGTACTACTCATCCATAAAGAGTGAGAAATTAGAGGCATTTATAGCTAAATGGATGCACATATGTATTTGTTGTTGTCGTTTTGTTTTTTTTTTTTTTTTTTTTTTTTTTTTATTTTTTTTTTTTTTTTTTTTTTTTTTTTTGGAGACAGGGTCTTACTATGTAGTTGAGAGACTGACCTGGAACTCACTCTGTAGCCCAGGCCAATCTCGAATTCACAGCGATCCTCCTGCCTCAACCTCCCCAGTGCTGGGATTACAGGCATGTACACCACCACGCCTGGCTAGATGCAATTTTTTTTTTTTTTTTTTTTGGTACTGGGGATCAAACTCGGATCCTTTTACTTGTGAGGCAGGCAGTGGAACCTCTGAGCTAAATAAATAGGACAAATACCAAATAGTTTCTCTGGTATATGAAACTGAAAATGTAAATAAGAATCAAAAGATATAATAATGTGAAATTGGAAGAAAAGTTGCAAAGGGGGAACAGTAAGGGGAAGGGGTAAGGAAAAGAGGGGAATGGAATTAACATTAGAAAATGAAAAAATGTAAACAAAGTCTTTGTAAATAGGGAGGGATGGAGGGATTAAAGGGAGGGCAGGGGAATGGGGAAAAAATAAGAACCAAGATAGATTATGTGAAGGTACAAATCTCCAATGATGAATGCCACAGTACTGTATACCTAAAATGGACTAATAAAATTAAGTTTTAAAAGAGTACAGTACAGTAACATTAATTTTTCCTTACCTTCCCAAGTGTAGAGATTACAAGCATGTGCCACTTGGAAGAAAATATTTGTAACTAAAGAATACTATATAAATGTTGTTTATTTAATTGAATTTCATTTATGATACAGAGTTTGGAACATGAAATACAATTATGGATCTAGATTAAAAATTTTCATTCTACCTTTCTCCTATACTTCCTCTCCTTCTAAACAGTATAGTCCTAAAACCATTAGGTATGGCGGAGAACAGATATTAGATGGTAGAGGTACAGTGGACCAGAGCAGAATATCAAAGTCCAGGTAGGTTGAAGAAGATACCTGCATTAAGAATGACCTGGCACGAGATTTCAGCACAAGGTGGAATGAGGACAGTCTTCATCCTGGGTGTCCTAGCCCTAGGAGAATGCTCTTGGAGGGGAGGAGTGATGGGAAAATGGAAGACTGCGTATATCCGTGGAGGTTCGTCATCTGCATATATGTTAAAAACAGCGGAAACGTCCATGTTGGTTCACAGAAGGGAGTCGTAAATAAGGAAAGGGAGAAAACTGCAGTTATGTGGTAGTACTGGACTAGAACTGATATATATATATATATATATATATATA